ATGTATAATAAAAATGTTTACGATACTATGTAAAAGAACTTTTGGCTATATTGATTACTTGCTGATTCAAGACACATTACTGCCATATTTGAATTCTGTTGTTTGGTAGATTTGTATAGAGATTAGGTATGTTTTGGTATTCGCAGAAACCAAATATCATTTCCCTAAATAATTGAAATCGTTAAATATTAAAATCTAATTTATTAATTAATATATATCGTTTTAAACCTTTCATTAGCTTATTGCTTTGATCCTCCTAGTTGCTTGTAACATTATCAAGCATTTAATAATGATCTGCATTTTGAGGAACATAGTAAGGTCATAAAGGGTAAACTTGTCAGCTGTGGAAATAGTGTATATATATACCTTGGTTACGCTTCTAATATTATGATCGTAGTCAGATGAATATCATAAAATAGCAATTATGAATTGAGCTCATTAATTCGCAAAGCAACATAAACTTAAGCATATTCTCTTTGAGCTCATTAGATTTTCAAAGACGGGATTAAGATTGTTCATAATTATACTCTAACTCATCCTGAATTCTATAAAACTTTAATGCATTAATTTTTAGGCATATCGTGAAATTTGTTTTAAAAAAAATTAGTTATAAGGACAAACTTTAAAAAAATTTCATAGGTAATTTATTATATAAAATTTAATGTACATTTTTTTAAAAAAAAAATTATTTAAAATAAAAAAAAATTAAATTATAAATGTAGGGCTCGATAATTTAATGCTAAGTTCATTCGATCATAACTTGAATCTTGATACACTCCTTATATAAGTTAGATCTACAAGTCCTTTGTCTCACCATTCAAACTATTGAAAAAGTTTGAATTGAATTTCGTTTATTAATAAGTGAATGCCTTACGTTGGTTCAGCTTTACTTTACCAACAATCATTCACTAACAGCTCATTTAGTTGACATAATATGTATCTGCAACTAATCAAATGTTAACCTTAACTCTATGTGAATTTAACTAAATAAGCTGTCAGTAAAATAATTACTAGTAAAACAAGCAGCACCACTTTAATCTTAGCCTTACCTTAACCTTAGCCTTATACATGTTTATCCTTTTTAGCTTCTTCTCGATCATAAGCAAGTGCTTTACATTAATTCTTTTCAACTTCTGTCATCTTTTTTAACTTCTGAATCATAAACGAATGCTCTCTCGAATTATAAGTGAATGCCTTATATTTATTCATTCCTTTTAGCATCTTCCAGATCCAAGATTATTCATTCTAAGGTTTAGAGCAGTTAAGTGGCTTTACACGGTGCTTTTTAATATTCTCTAATCCAAGTACATATCTTTGCTAACATTTTTTAATCTATAGGAAGTATATAATTCAATTTTTAAAAATGTAGAAAACTAGTGCTAAGCTTTTATGAAGCTAGTTACCAGCCTTCAGTTATTCTGAATTTCAAAAAAAAAACTATATTCAAATAGCTAAAATTTTTATTAAAATTTTTTGAAGGCGATTACAGGATTATATAAATTTGTGTATAAAAAACTATGTAAAGCTTATATCGTGACAGTTTTGAAGATCGATTATCTAATTGTGTAATATTGAGTTGCCCCCGTTTATTTTACTAACCCCTAGTTAATATATATTAAAGTTTGATTTCAAAAAAGCTTTACATATTTAGAATAATTGTCAAAATATGATATGTGTATACTATTAGATATATTTATAAATTGAATCATATAATTATTATTCAAATTTGGTTTACTTGATATTAGCTTGTCAAAAATCGATGAATTTAGAAATATATTGTGCCTTTTTATATATGCATTCGCATATATCATGATCTGTAAATTCTTGATATGGGTAATAATATGATTATAATATAGCGATAGTGAGTAATATATTTGTACAATAAACAAGCGATGCATTATTCATGATGCTAATTTAAACCTGATAACTATTATTTAATTATTCTTAATTTAATATATCAAGATAATGTAATATTGATATCAAATTGTAATATGAAGTTCTTCAAATATTGATTACATATCATATTTACCAAAATAGTTTATTTAACTAGTTACATTATGCATTTCTATTATGATATCATCTAGTTATATAGTTGACAATACATTCGATTATTCAATTTTTACAACTTTTTTCATTTTTATCAGAACCAATAATGCTGAGTTTCTTATACTTAGGCAATGCTAACGCTTCATCGAATCTTCAAAAATATAGTACTCTATTTTTTATTTCTAATATTTCCAATATAGCTGACTTTTGAGAATAAATTTTACTACTATCTTTTAGTGTCTTTCTGAAAAATGTTAATACATGCTGATGATTTTTTTTTTCAATAGGTTGACAGGAAAATGCGCCAAGTTCCTATTGCAAATGAATGTCAAGGAATTTAGAAACATGATATATTAGAACATGCATATAGGGTGTTATATCTAACTATTCAAGAGCTTTGCTATGAAATTGATTTTCTGATAATTCATCTTGACTTAACATTTTATAAAGCTTATAAAATCCTAACCAAAGTTTTTGAACTTTAGTAGCATGTGTTGGTGGTAACATTATATTTAAATTAAAATTTTCTATGATTTTTAACTTGTCCAGGCCCATTAACGAAGTAAATTTCCAAAATTTTGTCTCCTTGTCTTTCCAGAAATTAAACTTTACCCTGATGTTTCTCATTTCTTCACATATTAGATCTCTCATTTCATCTACAAAGTGTCTGTTATTCTTATATTTATTTAAAGCCAATTCTCACAGGCGATCAGTTAATCGCAACATTAAATGAAGCTAGTCTACAACGTAATTAGTTATAGGAATCATGTCTAATATAGGTAGATAAATATGACCCAGGTAACTTTGATAATTTTCTTTAATTTGACTCATTTCTTTTGTTATTTGCCAATTTTGGCTTAAATCGCCTATCAAATCCTTTGTACAAAGACACCAAGGACAGAAGTTAAATGCATTAGGTGCATTAAATCCTAAAATTATTGCCAAAAATTTCCAATCTGACGAAAAAAAAACTTTAATATCCCATCGTCGTTGGTAATTATCAGTAAAACCATAGTTACACAAAATTTGCAATTCATGACAAATTGGTTCTAAAGCAGTTTTAAGAGATATATACTTTTCTGTTTCAGAAAACAGAGAAATCGTATAGTGATTTTCAGGTTTCATAATATTTTCTTGATCATTTAGAACTGCTAATGTCACCATTATATGCTTTATTTTCCTTCTGACATTTTTTCTGTTACCTGATATCCGCAAGTATATTATAGAAGTTTCATAATTAAGAACTTGCTTTGTAACAAGTCTTGGTATAAGAAATTGATGAATTGTAGATATATTACGATAGCCACCCTTTTCTAATATATTTGTAACCTTTTCATTATCTAAATCATCTGATTCGTCCAATTCGTCTGAATCATCTGAATCATTAGATTCATCAGAATCATTTGAATTGTCATCTTGCATTTGTGTCTTTATGCCAAATTCTAATAATGGAATATGCTTTTGCATTATTTCATCAATCTTAGCTTTTCTCTACTAACTAACCATTCTTTCGGTAAATCATATGAAGTGATTGTTAGTGCTCTATATCCTTTTCATGAAATATTTGAATGATCCATTGTTTGAACTATTTTTTGTGCCTTATTTTTTTCTAATTGTTGATCCTCATCAAACTTTATTAACCATGGCTGTTTATCTGCCTTTATTACTATTTCTTTAAGCTTAGAATTATCTTTCAGATTCCAAATTTTATTTTTTTTTGATTCGAAAACATTAAATAAACTTTTTAGTTCTATTTCTATATGAATAATTGCTAAGATCACTAAGAGGTTTAACACATTGTGAATAATTTTTCTTTAGTATAGTTTTAGTTATCTCTTCATATATTTGTAGTCCAAATATGAGTATTTCAGAAAATGCGGTTTTTCTTCCTGAATATTGAATCTTAAAAAAAGGAAAAAAATTTTATTAATTTATAAATTAATATATATAAATAATAAAATCTATGTATAAACCTTACATTACAATATTTGTTAGTTGCATCCAAAGGTGAAGTTTGTGAAACTACAGTATATTCTTATTTGTTATACATCCATTCAATTGTAAAATTTGAAATTCTTTTGACATAATCAATAGATGCTTGAATATGATTTTTCTCTTTATGCCTCCAAAAAACTTCAACTTTATAGTTGTTAGGAATAGGATATAATCCTGGATGTTGTGTATATTTAAGATTAGGTTTTAAAGGAAATGTGCCTAAATTTATGATTGTATAGTTATAGTTTCTATTTTTGCTTTTCCAAAAAACTAAGTTATTATGTGGATAGCTATGATCTATCATTCCTTCAAGTTTTTTTCTTGTTACGCTTTCTGATATTTTACAGTATTTCAAATTAAAAACTTGTATATGCCTGATATGGTATATAA